AAAAACGCATAATCTATTAAAGCATATTTTAAAATCTTTTAACTTTAAATTCTGGGTTTCTATGGTCTTCGAGGAAATGATTTAGAATAATTCCTATTCATTCTCTCTCTCTTGAATAAAGAAGACCTACTTAATTAACCTGGGAAGAAAGTCCTTTATTTTATATGTGAGATTCACCGTCGTTCAGAGCAGGTGTATGGTTGACAAACCTCGACACGTTAAGGAAGATGACCGTTTCTTGTGGCTTCCTACTTTTTTGATTTGTCTGAGAGAACATCCAAAGTGTTCTAACCAGAAAATAATGGCTTTTAAATGGTGACAAGAAAGGAGTGATTTCTAAAATAAATGTCAACAAAAGAAGTGACCTCTGATGGAAAGTCTGTCAATTGAAGCGCCCTCTCTAAAATTAGCGACCGGGAAGTGGGTGTTGATAACAATAGTGGGTTGGAGAAAAAAGGGAGAGGAGAGGAGGAAAGACAAAAAGAAATGTGTCGCTAGGAAATGGGGTAATAGGATGAGGAGAGGTAACAGAAAAGTAATATGTCATCGAGGTAAAGGGAGAGGTGAAGGAAGAAGAAAGAATAAAGAAAGCGAGAAGAAAAGCATAAAAAAGAGGTGGAAAGAGTTTAAAAATAGTGGCTTACAGAAGAAGAAGAAGAAGAAGGAGGAGGAGGAGGAGGAGGAGTTGGATGAGAAGGGTGAGGAAAAAAGAAGAAGAAGGAAGAGGGGAAGGGTGAAGAAGAAGAAGAAGAAGAAGAAGAATGAAGAGGAGGAAGGAGATGACAAGGGGTGAGGAAAAAATAAGAAGAAGGCAAATGAAGGATGAGGGGGTGTTGATGAAGAAGAAAACTGAGGGGAAAGTGCTAAAAAGACCGAGAAGGAGAAGGATGAAGGGGTGTTGAAGAAGAAGAAGAAGAAGAAGAACAAGAACAAGAAGAACAAGAACAAGAAGAAGGATGAGGGGTGTTGATGAAGAAGAAGACAGATGATGGGGTGTTAAAGAAGAAGAAGAAGAAGAAGAAGAAGAAGAAGAAGAAGAAGAAGAAGGATGAGGGGGTGTTAAAGAAGAAGAAGAAGAAAGACGAGGGGGTGTTGAAGAAGAAGTAGAAGAAGGAGGAGGATGAGGGGGTGAAGAAGAAGAAGAAGAAGAAGAAGAAGAAGAAGTATGTGGGGTGTTGAGAAGAAGACGAAGAAGGACGAGGGGTGTTGAAGAAGAAGAAGAAGAAGAAGAAGAAGAAGAAGAAGAAGAAGAAGAAGAAGAAGAAGGGATGGGTGTTGAAGAAGAAGAAGAAGAAGAATGAGGGGTGTTGAAGAAGAAGAAGTAGAAGAAGGAGCAGGATGAAGGGTGTTGAAGAAGAAGAAGAAGAAGAAGAAGAAGAAGAAGAAGAAGAAGAAGAAGAAGAAGAAGTATGAGGGGGTGTTGGAGAAGAAGAAGAAGAAGAAGGAGGGAAAGTGAAATTGCTGTTATCGAATTTTATCAAAATATCAATCTGCACCCTAGATTTTTTCAAATCTCTCCGTTCCTGAAAGAATTACTCCTTTCCCAAGACAACATACATGACTATAAAATGTTAAAAAATTAAAAGAAAATTGTTAAATCCATAACCTCATGTTATTTAAAATAATATATAATACATAAATTTATCCCATACTAAAACATTTTAAATAATATTTGCATAAAAATCCAACATCATTTACTTCTTTTCGTTTATCAGACATTAAATTATGTCACTTATTATCTTCCATAATTTACATTGACTTTTCAGGTAACCTGGTGAATATTTATGAGTGTTTCTTACATTTAAAAATTTAGAGAAACTGACAATATTTTTTTTTTTTACTTTTGTTTATAAATACTTGTTGCTAAACAAAATCCACACATTTGTCTTGATAAAGTCCACTAGAGGACGAAATGCGTGGAAATCCATCACCGGATGTACAGAGCACGCACCATGAATGAATGGAAGAGGCTAGGTAGAAATTTTCTTTTTTTTTTTAATCCGCCAGGGACACAGCTTCTCGAGCTGAAACATAGCTTTACCAATTCAGCCACGGAGACCGCATCGATAGAGTAAGTTTTGAAGCTGTTTCCCTGATGGAAGAGGGGATGGTGCAGGATCGATTTCTGTCGGAGGTACTGTCTTTCGTTAATAGGACTTCTTAATCTAGGACTGTTGTTATTTAGTTCATTGTAGAAGAAAAAAATGATAACACCCCCCCCCCAAAAAAAAACAGTTGCACGTGTACTGCTAATAATAATATTCATAATTTCAAGAAATGATTTCACGATTTACAAAAAGGAGATAAGATGTGCCACAAAGTAGAAAGTGTGAAGCACCCAGTAAGAATCGAACTCACTACTCAGTAGTAATTGATCTAGAGAGATAAGCTTGTTAAACATTACACCATAAATGTTGATGCAGTTAAGATGTGCTTAATAATGCTAGACACGTGTAATAAATATTAGCGAATAACTATTTTATATTCAATCAACAGCTGCATCTACCGCAAGGAAAATTGATTCTCTGTGACGTGCCAGAAGGTTTTACTCGTCTAAATCCATCCTTCACATCTGCAAATCTACCATTCGTCCATGCATTGAATACTCTTGCCATATATGGTCTGGTGCCCTCGATGTTCATCTCGAGGTTCTCGACAAAATCCAAAGACAGATATGCAATGTGATCGGTCCTGATCTGGCATCTCGATTCCAGTTAATTTCTCATCGACGTAATATGGCTTCCCTCTGTCTTCCTAACGCAATATCATCATCAGTGTGTGTTTTGAAGACAAAAATGTAGTGTATATTATTTCCAAAGACAAAATTGCCATGTTCATCTGAAAGTTATAATTTTACGTGTTCAATGATGACTGCTAATTTTTGCATCTATCTATCTATCTATCTATCTATATTTATATATAATTTTTTTATAAATATTTAGACATTGCAATAACTTAGATACGTCCCTTGACGTCTGCACACGTGTCTATATGAAAAAATTGTACAGTATATAACCTTTGCGTTTTTCACTTCACGTGTAAAATTTAATTTTCAGATGAACACAACAACTTTATCTTTGGAAAATGATGGAGACAACTGTTTTTGTCTTAGAAAAAACAAGACTCTGAAGACGATATTGTGCTAATGTCGAAAGAACATGAAATAAAATGAATATGCATCAACATGGTAATTTTCTTTTTTTCTTTAATAAGGATACGAAGAAACTTGTCCATAATTACGAGAGGATCATATGAAAATAAGGTAACAAAACTTGACTAAATTATTTAATCGGACATGTCTTAATGAAAGCATGTTGCCAAAGTATACGCAATATATATATATATATATATATATATATGCTTTAGAAAGAATCGTTGGAACAAAAGACCCAGACAGTATATATATATATATATATATATATATATATATATATATATATATATATATATATATATATATATATATATTTTTTTAAAAGGACGGACCGCATTCTTTAAAATGAAACTTTTACGTCCAACAGGGCTTTAGAAAGATCCATTGGAACAAAAGACACAAACAGATTATAAATTATCATAAGCGGCGAAACTAAAACTGTAAAAGTGTTTGGGATATATATATATATATATATATATATATATATATATATATATATATATATATATACAACAACATATTTTATAGCCAGCGGAAATTTATTGATATTTTTTTTTTATAAAATTATGAATAAAAAATTGTTTTCATAGTTATTTATAAATGATTGCATTGTAGATAGTTTACATATTTTGATATTTTTTTTTACATTTTGGAATAAAAAGATTTCTTTCCAAATTTATTTCTTCATAAAATGGTAAATAATGAATATTTCATTGTATTTGATTCAATCTTCTAAATAAACAAATAATAATATAACAAGTAATATAATCCTGTAAATAAACCCATCGAAGGGAATGATGGTAAAACAAAATAAAGTGTTAAGGGAAAAAAAAATTTCTTTTGACACACCGAAAAAAAAAAACAAAAAAAAAACATAAGAAATAAAAAATACAATATCTATAATACAATAATAGCAAGGTTATCTATCTATTTAAGTCCGTTATTATGGCAACTATATGTGTTGATGCCTTTATTGATTTGGATTTTATTACTAAAGAATATTTCTTTATATCTTTATAACAAAGAAATATTTTATTACTACGTAGGGAAGATCAGGCTGTGTGAACGATAAATGTATAAAAACACCTTATAATTTATATTATTGTTTATCATGTTAAAAACATTACGATGACGTCAGTTAAAAGCAGAAGTGTTATGTTAATAATATTAACAATAGTAAAAAGCAGACAACATTATAAATAGTATTACTTGTTATATTACGATTTTATTTTAGGATCTATCATCATTATTATAATGGTATAAGGCAATCATTTCAACAATATGGATAAACTTTACGAGGACAATAAACAACTTGGTTAAGGGAAAAATAGCAGACGACGCGAATCAAGAACAAGGATTTTGACAATAATGTCGTCCTCCCAACTTTTAAAGTGTGCCTTTAACTGTTCTAATGGTTTTCGATATTTGGTCAAGGGTTACTAGCATCGGTTGATGGCGTAAAGTAAATACCGAGGAATGAAAAACGAGAAAACAGACTTGCAACCAATTCCAGATTTATATTTCTCTTTACTAGTTTTTTTTCCTTTTTTTTTTTTTTTTTTCAGATTGAAGAAAGGGACAAAAAAAAATGCGGCCGTAATCTCTAATCGATCGTAATCTTCGATCGCATTGGGATCGGGCGTTCATTGTGGAAAGGAGAATACAAGGGATTCGAAGAAAAGGTAAGGGTTAGGGCTAAACACTAAAACCCGTTCACTACGTAATGGCTCTTGGGATTCATATTAAATATCAAACTGCTGGTTTTTATCTATCTATCTATCTATCTATCTTAGCCTGTTCGTATTTATCTGTCCATCTATCGATCTATCTATCTATCTAATCTGAG